CTTACTATCCATTAATCATTACTGACAATATTTTATTTACATTTGATTTCATTAGATTCTAATAATTAAAAGAAAGAGTCGATGGATGATTAATTTAATCTCCTAAATTATTCATTATAATTATTTGTCTTTTTATTTTATCTATATGCGCTGATTTTGTATTAAATAGTAAAATAGTTTTTTTAGCGGAGCAACTAAATTTTTTGGGGTTAATTATAATTCTATTGACCAGTTTACACATCATGTTTAACGTGTTTAACGTGTTTAATGTTGAGACACAATAAGATATAAGGTTTGAAAAAAGGATCAAAAACCAAATCAGCTGATATGTATTGAGTTTGAGTTCTTCCAAGCCATAATAATAATAAAATATTAATATTTTGAACACAGTTCCACCATATATCCTTACAAAACAAAAGCTTAATCAGTTAAATTAAATCAACCGCAATTAAGCTCCCATAATAGTAAAAAGATATTAATATTAAATACAAATTAATAAAATAATTCGTTTGTATGTTTATGGGAAAGTAAATATAATTTCTATTTCTTTAAATATTATTATTATTAATATAAATTATAATATTAAGCAAATAGGCTTTTATTTTAAATGTTTCAAAAAAATAAAACATTGGCTATTTACATCATTCTTTGAAACTTTCTAGACGTCCATTATCGTTTAATTGAGCTGAATATTTGTTCTTATTCATGTCAAAAGTAATGCTCTTGAGTTTTTTTGTTCAAATTGCTGTTTATACATTTTTCAAAACAAAAACAAAAAAGAAGTAATGTTTTTTCAAAATTCCATTGGGTAAAATTCATAAATAATTGGTATTTCTGAGGAAATGAATGACCAGTCATGATTAGAGCTTATTGGTCAATTCAAATTAGCCAATCCCCATCAGAGTTTCATATCCAAACACCCCACCCCAAAATTTTAATTATAAATTTCAATTTCATGATTTTATGATGACAATTTTTATTTCTGCCCTTTCACTTCCCAGACCTTCTATACAATTGGATTCAGATTCAATTACCACATCGGAAACTATAATAGCAGTACCCATAATCTTTGCCTGCTTTAATTAGTTCTAACCAGCCACAAAAAAAAAAGATGCAAAATCAACTAGAATGTTGAGAGCTAGAGATCATTATAATAGGTGAACATTATGAGTTTGTTAAACGTAAAGTTTGTTCCAACAACAAAAGAGAGAAAACGTTTAAACATAATAACTCTACATGTATGTAATCTTTCACATAATAATTTTCAAGTTAAAATTTTTATTATGAACTTAAATAAAAAAATGCATTGAAGTTTTAAATTTAAATTTATATAATTTATTCAAATCATTCAAATCGTTAATGTTACGAATTGTTCAAATTGCTGATGGTTCAAATCATTCAAATCATTGATGGTTCGAATTGAATCATTGAATATTTAAATCAAAATAATTTTTTGACTATGATTCAAGTTGGTTCGAACCAGTTCATAAATAAGCTCTAGTCATGATGTTCCTGATTTCTAACAAACTCATTGGTCAGTTAACAAATATCAGCGGAAATGAATGACCAGTCATGATGTTTCTGATTTCTAACAAATGAATAAAATTTATTAGATGGAAATAAATGACCAACCAGATTTCTAGTAAATGTATGAAGTTTATATGAAGTTCAGAAAACTTGGTTGTATTTAAATGCAACTTTCTATATATTAATATGTTAATTTATATTGGTTTATTGGTTGAAATTAAATATTATAAGAATGGGAAATTA